GTCTGATAGGGATGTTCGTTTCACTAGCTATTTTTGGAGAACTTTGTGGCATAAGATGGGTACCAAATTGAAATTTTCTACGGCCTACCACCCTCAGATTGACGATCAAACTAAAGTAGTTAATCGAAGTCTTGGTAACCTATTACGTTGTCTGGTCCGGAAAAACCTTCGGAATTGGGATTTGATCCTTCCTGTAGCTCAAATTGCGTATAATAGCTTCATAAATCGTTCATTAGGTACGAGTCCATTTGAAGCCGTTCATGGGTACAAGCCTAGAAAACCGTTAGATCTCATCCCTATGTCCCCACAGGCTAGAGTGTCAGTATCAGCCGAAGCATTTGCACAACATTTTCGTGACTTGCATATTGAGATCAATAAACAACTTGAAGCTAGTAATGCAAAATATAAACTCCACGCTGATTTACACAAACGACATATTGAGTTTAACATTGGGGATTACATTATGGTTCGCATTAGGCTAGAGCGTCGTCTACATGGACCCGCCTCCAAATTGCAAGCTCGTAGTGTTGTTCCTTTTAAAATTTTAAAGCAGGTTGGTCCAAATGCATATATTGTTGACATTTCACCACACCTCGGTTACCACTCTACTTTCAATGTTGAGGACCTTATAGCTTATAAAGGCCATTTCATTCCCTCAGATGATCCTCTGTTACCTTCTTTTGTGGACCTTGATCTTGATTCTTTGGCCCCTTCTAACCCACTACCACCTCTCACAGCACACAAAGAAAAAATTGATGCTATTTTAGATAAAGAAACTATGTTCACTAATGATGGAGAGGTTCAGCGCTTCCTTATTCATTGGGTTGGTCGACCAGATTCTGACTGTGCATGGATCTCCAGGGAGACACTACAGCAATTGGATCCAGATTTATTGGAGTTTTATTGGAGTCAACAGAATCTTCCTTGGCCCAGATCACTTCCCGTCCACCCGAGGGGAGTTGGTGAGAACACCAGGTTCATACCTCCATTGACACATTTTTACAGACGTCAGAAGAAACTTGCCCAACCACTCAGCTTATGGTTGGGAGATTGATGACAACCTAGAGTGATATATCCACTCGACAGGGTTGAGTTTTCTCCCACCCCGGGAGAGCTAAAGAGGACATCGGACGTGGCTTATTTTATTTACACTTTATTTATGCTTTATTTATCTTTTGGACTATTACTTAAGATTTGGACTTGTAAGGGCTCGGACCCAAACTTGTTAGGGTTGCTTAACTGTTTAAACCTATTTTACATTATAATTTTCAATTGATGAATGAATAATATTTTGGTGGCTTATGTCGTTTTTTCTCTCTTCCTGTTTTCTTTCTTCCCTTATATTAAATCCCCCATGCCTTTCTCCTCTCTAATTCTCCCTCCCCATAAATCTATTCTATTTCTCAATTAACTGTCCTGTTGGTGCCACATCAGAAAGTGTGCAAGTCAAAAAGGATTCGAGTGCTTGAATCCACATACAGTCCCTTGGTCGACCAGCTGGCCTTAGGCCAATGAAGCAGGCACTAATCTGGAGATTGCGATCTGATATCGAGCTGTAATGTCCATTGCTCTTGCCATGAAAGTAGAAAATGATCCCATCTCCAACAATGAACCATAGATTCAAACAAGCTGCTCCAAGACCATTGCAGTTAGGTATTCGGTCTGTAGTTATGAGCTTTAATCAATATCTAGAGAAAATTTAAAACAAAAACATATGCTAGTAGAACTACGCAGAACTAAATACGTAGAGAGTTTCTAACTCATGCATTCGGGCTGGCATATGGGTGAATTGCAGTTAACATGATAAACTTTATCGTTTTACATTGTAGCAGGTTATATGCTCTTCGTGGATCTGTACTGTAGCAACTAGAAACTTAGCAAAAGAGTCGAGAAACACTTGCTGTTAAACATCTTCATTTCCTCTTTTCAAGCAAGAAAAGAAGTTGAAAAGGTATGTCGCGGAAATCTCTCGAAAAAATCTTGATTCGGACTTAGTTTCATCAACTGAACGAACACCAACCGAGCATTAATTGACCCACAACTCCCACTTGGTTGCCACAAGTCTTCGCCCTACAAAGGAGACACTTGGTGATTGGTTTGCAAGCCACAAAGGAAGAGGAAATAGAGTAGCAATTAGAACCTCAAGCAAGAAGAACCAAACCGGCCAAAACTCACGTGTTTCCTCTCTTTCTCACAAGACCAACACACAAGAAAATGGCTAGGGAATAAGTGTATATATAATGGGTTACTTTAGGTTAACTAATGGGCCAAAGCATAATTGGGCCAACAATTTAAATAACCAATATATCATCCCAATTCAAAGCCACAACTTGGGTCATCCAAAAGTATTGGGCCACGAGCAATATTAATTCAATTAAATTGCTTCAAATAGCCTCGAGTTATTTCTGGTCAAGCTATCCCTAATGTGTTGATATAATTTATCCAACATCGGTTTAACATCATCACCCGAATTTATTGGGTATCAAAAAATCCAACAAGGTAGATTAGAATTACTCCTGCCTTCTTTTTATAAGGGTACATCAAAGTGGGATTTTCTCTTCGGTTATTTTTTCAGTTTTATATTCAACACCATAGTCACATGAATTCTCCATTAGAATAGTGAGTTGGCTCATGGCTGTGATGATTAGCTTTATAAACTGGCGATGTCCACATGCTGTCCCTATAAAGAAGGGTCCCAATTTATGGTAATCATGTGAAAGTGAGACATTAAATTTGAAACTGGAACATTGAGGGTTAACAACATTGTTATGTAACATTAATACCAGGATTCTTGCCTGCATTTCCTTCCGGGAATATTATTATCTAAAAACTAGCTTCTTGACATTCAACTAGATGGCTTTCATTCATTTATTTTGTCAATGTTCTTATAACATGATCTTGTGCCTCCAATACAAAGCAAGAAGATAATATCTATAGAAGAAAGCATCAAGTTATTACATGTGAATAACAAAGCATAAATTTCTGCATTTATTGAGCTACAAGCATCCATAGCTGAATAAGTAAAGTGCCCAACTGATAATTGGTAAGTTCGTAGGTTCAATTCCTATTTGGTTATGCATATTCAGGTTATAAGCAGTTACTTTTTGCAGATGATCCCATTTCCATGGGACAATTTACTCGAACAATTGAGCCTTCCATAATCTGCGGCTACTGAACTCTGTATTTGATCGAATTCTCTTACAGGAAAAAACATGCAATATTTGCAATCTGTGGAGAGAAGGGATGTGGTTCTGTACTTATCTTCACCTCCTACCACTGGCATTGCCACACCTAATTTTGCAGGGCTCTCAAAATCGGGCTGGTAAGTGTGGCCAAGCACGCCTTCAACTTTCGTTGAAAGGCCAACGAATCTGAATTGCACTTCTAAATGAGCAAATCAATCATCAGAAGGTATTTGATATTTGTGGATTCTGTCGTCCTCTGTGGTTATAGGCACCACATTAACCGCTATCTCTACAGCTTCCCGGATAGAAATCGCAACGCTGTTCTTGCTCGATATTCTCTCCAATTTAACATAATTTTCTTGAGAATTCCAGCTTTCTTGTAGGATAATTTCCTTACCATCATAAGAGAATTTGAGATGGTCTATGTTGTTGTCCCATGTTGTTGCCTTTTTGGCCTCCACAGAGAAGTTGTGAGTACCAAAAAGGACTCCCAGGGCCTGAATCCAAGTATAGTCTCGTGTTCGTCCAGCTGGACGGAGCCCAATGAAACGTGCATTTATTTGAAGATTACTGTCAGATACTAAGCTGAAGTGTTCATTGCTCTTGCCGTGAAAGTAGAAAACAATGCCATCTCCACCAATTAGGCGTGGATCATAGCATGCAGAGCCAAGGCCGTTGCAATTTGGTATGCGACCTATGATTGCAGACAAGAAGAAATAGATGAAAAGAACTTATTAGTTACTGAAGTTGGACTACGTGGAGCCTACTTATATACTTAACCCGGCGTGGCCATCATAGGTGAACTATTAATACTGATTCACTTACTTTTGCACTCCGCCTTGCATATCGGAGAATCACAATTGACATAACAAGCTTTAACTTTTGGGACTGCCTCATATTAGTTTTTTTATTTTCTGCAAATTTTTTTTTTTTTTTTTTTTTTTTGGTCAATGATTGAAGATTACAAAGTTGCCAACACTAAAATGAGAAGAATCATGATCTGTCATCTATTGACATTTCTGAGTCTTGAAAAGGAAGCAATTGAAGTATTATGTAGAGAGTACTCTGAAGACTAGGTTAAATAAATTTAACAACTTAAATTTTTAAACGAGGTGGTTCAACATGAAAAATGTCTTGTCTTTCATCTATATTTATGAATTTCTATAATCTCATGCCCGTAAACTTTACATGAAATTTATACACAGATTGATATAACAAGTTTGCTAATCAGTCTGAAATCACAAATATTGAGAAAAACAATATTTAGGTTGGATCTTGGATTTTGAGAATAATCTAGAGTCAACTTATTTAATGCTAATATATTGATTGGTCGGTGATGATGACACTTGGCATCAACGTTAGTATCCAACTACCAACATTATTCTGCACAACGAAGTTTGAGAATCAACGTTCACAATCATTGTCGAATTTATTCACGATATCTTAGAAGCGCCTACTCATGAAATGACAAATGGAGAGCGTTTCCAATAAAGTTATACACATAATTAATAAATTTTTGCATTTATTTATGAATAAAATTGGATGGACAGGGAAAAAAGACAGGGTTCAAAAAACAGGCTCATTTGACATGATTTGATTGAGTGTTTTTGTGTAATTTTTCCCAATTTCCAATGTTGAACTGCTAAGTATTGTCTGAAAATATGTCATTGACCTTGTTTGTATAGTTTGGTTGTTTATTTATAGAATTTTTAACAATTTTAGAAACAGCCAATCACGGGGAAGGGGCTCGGATTGTCCTATCTGTCCTGTCGGGTCGGTCAACAACTCTGTCCCATCTGTAAATCCCGTTTGGCTCCCTCATTATTACAGCCTTATTTAACCGCACACCAAACATACAATTTCCCTCCAATTACTATAATTTCCAATTTCAGTGAGTGAACTCGCCCAACCCCGCCGTTCTAGGTGAAGCTCAGAACCACTCAAAACCCTAACGCCACTCAGTCGTTCGCACCAGAATTGCGTTTCATTATTTCCCTGTCGGTAAGTTTTTCATTATTCTGGAACCATTTAATCACCAATTTGCTGTCTAAAATGACTTTATTGCTCTGAATTTGGGTGATCTGAAAATTTCAGTGCTCAGTTTGATTTAAATGTTCGGTGGTGATTTGTTGTAATTGCACTCGATTTTTTAGTTTTTGGTAGGAAAAAGTGGTTTTCCAAGTGTACCTTTTGCGTGAAATGAAAGATGGTTCTGGATTTAGAATGAATTTATATGCATATAGGTGATGACGAGTAGTTTTTGTTGTTAGTTGAAGGCCATTTTACTGGAGCTGAATATAAGAAAAGAAATATGGAGGTGTGTTGCGGTGTTTGGGTTGAGAAATGTGCAATTTTTTTGTAATTTTTTTACATTGAATTAGAATTGGCAAGTTTTAGAAAGTGGAAAAAATGGGTGAGACTAGGGAGACCTCGGTATCAGATAGTTCGGGCTTTAAGAGGTCATTGAGAAAGAAAAACAGTATAAGGAATTATGATGAGAATTTGATGGATGAGTTGATAGAGAGCCATTTGGGGGCTTCTTTGAGGAAAAAGAACAGAACACAGGAGGACTTGGAGAAAGAAACAGAGATTGAGGCCATGATAGCACTATCTTTGGGATTTCCAATAGATGAGTTACTACGCGAGGAAATTGAGGCTGGAGTTGTGAGTACTTTGGGTGGAAAAGAACAAAATGATTATATTGTTGTGAGGAACCACATACTCGCGAAGTGGAGGGACAATGTTAGGTCATGGCTTTCAAAAGGGCAAATAAAAGAAAATGTGAGTAATGAGTATGCACACTTGATAAATGCAGCTTATGACTTTCTTTTAAATAATGGATATATAAATTTTGGGGTTTCACCAGCGTTTGAGTCTAAGAATCCTCATGAAGCCATACAAGGGTCTGTAATAATTGTTGGCGCTGGCCTTTCTGGGTTGGCAGCAGCAAGGCAGCTCATGTCTTTTGGTTTCAAAGTGATGGTCCTTGAAGGTAGGAACCGACCGGGGGGAAGAGTTTATACTCAAAAGATGGGTCAAAAGGGTAATTACGCTGCTGTTGATCTTGGTGGTAGTGTTATAACTGGTATCCATGCCAACCCCTTGGGGGTTTTGGCTAGGCAACTGTCCATTCCTCTTCATAAGGTTAGAGATAAATGCCTGCTGTACAAGCCTGATGGAACACCTGTTGAGAAAGAAATTGATTCCAAAATTGAGCTCATTTTCAATAAGATGCTTGACAAAGTCACTCAATTGAGAGAATTTATGGGTGGATTTGGTAGCGATATTTCTTTAGGTTCAGTTTTGGAGACACTTAAACTATTATATTCTGTGGCTAGAAGTGACGAGGAAAAGCAACTTCTTGATTGGCATTTTGCTAACCTGGAATATGCCAATGCCGGAAACCTTGTGAACCTTTCTGCTGCTTATTGGGATCAGGATGACCCTTATGAGATGGGAGGAGATCATTGCTTTCTTGCAGGTGGAAACGGGAAATTAATTAGAGCATTGTGTGAAGGAATTCCTATCTTCTATGAGAAGAAAGTTCAGACCATTATGTATGGTGATGAAGGAGTTGAGGTCATTGCCGGAAACCAAGTGTTTCAAGCAGATATGGTCCTTTGCACTGTTCCTCTTGGGGTCCTTAAAAAGAAAACTATCGTCTTTGAACCAGAGTTACCTGAAGAGAAGCTTGCAGCAATAGAAAGACTGGGATTTGGGTTGCTCAATAAGGTTGCCATGGTATTCCCTCATGTTTTCTGGGGCGAGGACATGGATACATTTGGATGTCTTAGCAAACAGAGTTACAAGCGGGGAGAGTTCTTTCTGTTCTACAGTTACCATACTGTTTCTGGGGGTCCGGTCCTGGTTGCACTGGTGGCTGGGGAAGCTGCACAATCTTTTGAATATACAGACCCCTCTGCTTCTCTTCACCAGGTTTTGGGTATTCTCAAAGGTATCATACATCTTTGAACCGAAAGTTTCTCCAATGAAAATTCTCTCCTTGAATCTGTCGACAATGTGTTTGTCATTTGCTTTCCTAATTTTTTGGACTTTGTAATTTATGTTATTCTTTAGATTTGCTTCTGTTGAGCATGCTTACTTGTTTTTACATGACTTTTTGCAGGCATATATGGTCCTAAGGGAATCGACGTGCCTAATCCTCTACAATCCATATGCACGAGATGGGGGACTGATCCTTTTTCTTATGGCTCATATTCGCATGTCAGAGTGAAGTCCTCTGGCAACGATTACGAAGTACTTGCAGAAAGTGTAGGTAGCCGTTTGTTTTTTGCTGGTGAGGCAACAATTAGGCAACACCCTGCCACCATGCATGGTGCCTATCTCAGTGGTCTACGAGAAGCTTCACGCATACTCCAAGCTTCAAGGGCTCAGCAAAATAATACAAAGTACATACAGAGGAATATTGCACCCAGCGATGATACTTTATTGGATCTATACAAGACACCTGATCTAGCATTTGGGAAGTTCTATTTTGTCTTTGATCCTTTGTCTCAAGACCCAAAATCATTGGGGATTATGAGAGTGGCTTTAGGGAAGTCCTGCTGGGAATGCAGTAATGAACACTGTAGTTTGGAGAATAGAGAAGGTAGCTGTCAACATTTGTTAAATGAGTCACTTCAGCTTTATACAGTAACATCTCGCGAACAGGCACTAGAGTTGCAGCAGGTGACTGGAGGAAGCGAAAATCAAATGTCCTACTTGTTCAAAAATCTTGGCCTGAGGCTAGTGGGTGCCAATGGATTAGGACTTTTGGGTAACTCCGTGATATCTAACATTGTTAGTGCAAGAAGAGGTAGAGGTCGGTTTCGCATGTCTTCTGTACAGCAAAATGCTGTATAGAATTACTTCTATTCTCCATGATTAGATTTGTAGTCATCTCAATATATTAGCACAATTATTTTTATGCATCCACAGTTTTCATATAGGGAAGATACAGATTTAGACATGTTTTTGTTTCTAGGTCCTGTCAGGATGTTGAAAGGGGTTATTTCATGAACCCAGTGACGTGATTTTTTGAAAATTCGACAGTAATGTCGATCAATTTTCAGTAGGCCTAAGACTCTGCTAAACATAGGTGACTTTAGCTGGTGAAGAATTGTGCTGGAGAGCAGTTGCGTTCCCGCATTAGTGAATAGTGGAAATGGCATTTGTAGACGCAGTCCAGCCCTTTGTTTTCATTGATTTTTACTGTTTTTTCAATGTGGGTTGAAAACTGTAAGCTGATAAACTAGAATTTTTCCTTTCCAATTTTACCTCATGTATTTTTTGTGCTAGAAAAACAAAACAATAATATGAAGTTGGGCTTGTCATTATGAGCAATGCTATTTGTTTTTACTTAGTGATCTTTACGACCTTCCCAAGCGCTAAAGGGTTTTTCACCCGCTTTAAATGAATTGAACTCTTGGACTAGTTGAAAGGAGAATAGGAAACTTTACTGGATATTTTTTACTCGCTTATGGACCAATGTCAAAGGAAAGGATCGTCGCACTTTTTCCCTAAATTAATTGGCATTTGTAAGTGATCGTTCATTCAAAATTATTCTATTTGTATTTTAGAACTATTAAAAAAAATTGTATCTCTAGAAGAATTGTAACTCTTTGAATTAGCTTTCCAATGCGTCTTGAATCAGCTCCATCGAACACAATAGTTTCTGTATTTGATTAAAATTCTTTTATATGACAACTTGAACATGAACTTTAACCTAATTTCATCATATAAATATAAGATATGGACAGCAATGAAGGGGTCTCTCTTTTGCCTCTTCATACACAATAGTTTCATCAAATTTATAAAAAACAATAGGTCAATTACTACATTTTGAGAGAGGGGATCAAGTCATAGCAAGGAATTGAAGTTCAATTATATCAAAATTTTGAAGAATTCAACTTTGGACTTGAAGATCAACATTTTTTGTATTCTTTCATGATCCGGATGATATTTTCCTATTATTCTTCTTGTAATTTATATATTAATATGCTAAACTAGATTTTCTTTGTATTGGATAAATGATGAATTATATTGTTTGTTTATTTTAATTCAAGATAATTAATTTAGTATTTCATGATTTTTCTTGATTGATTTTGCATTCCCATTGAACTATTTAATTGCTTGATCATCAATTAGATAATAAGTTACTTGTTATAGTGTAGGAGTACTCACAATAAGTCTAGAATACGGTAAAATCAATACATGGGCAATATGTGTTATGAATAATATATATGACATGTGCAATCATGTGAATCAGTGCATTTTTTTATATGAATTCGGATTAGAAATATGATCGAATCGTGTTAAATATAAGTTTAATATATATTGGGAAAGAATATTGAATAAGGGTGGATTATCGATTGTTTTGAATCCATGAATTTATAAAATTATGAATTAAAAGTTGAATTAAATGACAATAGAGGGGATTCACGATTCCAATACAAATATTTATATATTTGATTAATATTTTATTTACTTTCTTAGTTTAGAATTAATATAGAATACGTACAAAATAACTATTTTGATTTTATATTACCTCGAATTCAATAAAAGCTATTGAATTAGATATTAGGTCTTATTCCTCGTGGGGCTGATAATCTTAATTCATAAATCTTATTATTTGTACAACGATTTCATACGCTTGCGAATTTTCCACGAACATTAGTAAAGCTAATTTTAAAAGATGATAAAAATTCAAATAATTACACAAACTTTCTTATCGGAATTCATCGTTCTGTGGTGTACTACGAAGGAATTTATGGCTGGGCTTAAAAATAAAACAAAAAATAATATTTAAATATTTAGATAAATTATGATTATCTTAATTTCAAATTAACAAATATATCTATATTAGACAAACAAATAATATATTTTCTTTTATTAATTCTAGGAAACCTCAAATATGAAAACCAACGGCTCAAGGTTAACACTCTCCATTAGACAAGTGAGAGAGTAGAAAAATGTACGCGGTCTTATCCTGCGCCACCTCTGCGTATCCTATGCACACTCTCAGAGCTTCCAGAGCCATAGTCTCAAGCTCTCGAGTTTCAGCTTCCCCTTTTCATCTCAAGGAACAAATCTTTGTGCCTGAGGTACAATTCTTTGCTGCTGCACAATTGGAAGGAAATATATGTTTTGTTTCGTCTTCTCTGAATTTTGTTATATAATTGATTTGTTCTTCCTTTTATGCATAAAATGTGCAGGTTGAGAAAGCTTTGGATTCATTGTACTTTGAGTTTAGGGCAGTGGATAATTTAGTTGCGCGCAATACTGCACGTGTTCTTAAAGCTTTTCAGAACGCACACCTTGCATCTCATGTAATATACCGTTTTCGGTATAGTATATTTAGTTATGTGTATTTTGATTAGAATGATAGTTGTAATATGTGAACAAAAGCAGAGAAGAACGTGCAGAAAGAGTTTCTGTATTCATTGATTCCATTGTGATTTTACACACATATTTGACTGCGTCTAATATGGGAAAATAAAGGCATGTAAATACAAATCAATGGCAATAAATCACGAAATCCTATGCTACCAATGGAGATTTACAGCATGTGCTGAAATCTTTGTTTCTGTAAAGAACTCCTTGATTTGTACTGAATCCTTTTTGGAAAGAATTCATTAAGCCTCTTTATTTCTGGACTTATATCATTTTCTTCAAAATTCCCAAAACCATTTCTACAATTGTGGAGCTAGAGTTGGATGTTTTCTTTGACAAAGCGATGTGGAGAGTAGTCCTTGAGTATCAATTCATTGAAATTAATCTATACTGATTCCAACTTTATTACAATGCCAGTGTCCGATAACAATTTTCGCCTTTTTTTTTTTTTTTTGAGTTAGTTTTTACTTCGTTTCTGTTGTATCTTGAACTGTTATATGCCTCTTATATGGATAAATTGCTAACTTGGCTTATTTGATAATGGAAACACTAAATTTGACGAAAGTCAGCTTGTCGAGCAAATTGTGCTCGAGATCTGGTCATTCTTGACTTGGATTAGTATAGTTGTTAGAATGAGTTTGCTATGAAATTAAGTCTGAATGTTCAATTAGTAGACTTAAGCTTGCCATAAATCATCAGTCATCGCTTTGAATCTTAGTTCCTTTAGTTTTCGTGTCTAATCTGCGTAGAAGCTCCTGGTCGAGGTGTCTTAGATTAGAACTGCTTCTGCGATTTGTCGTGTGCACAAATCAAGATTAACTTAGGGTCCGTTTGTTGCAAATATGGAATTTGGGTGGAAAAAAAATGAATTCTAGGGAATTGAATTGTCTAAAAATTATTTTCCTGGGAATTGTCAATTTATTGTGTTTAATGTATAATTTTTCACGTGAAAATTATTGAAATAAAAGTGTTTTTTGGTGTTCATTTGATTTTATTTTACATGAAAATTATCAATTAAAGGGATATAATTTGTTTTCATTGCAAAAAAAAAATAAAAAAATATTAATAATAAATAAATCAATCAATCAATCAAGAAAATCATCTATCTTTTGGTGTTTTGACTATATTTTACATGAAAATTGTTAATTAAAGAAAAATATTTTATTATAATTAGGGGTAGAATTTGTTTACATTGCAAAAAAGGAAAAAAATCAAAAAAATAAATAAAATAAAATCGCTACAGATGCCTAGAATTCGAATTCTCACCAATATGGCAAGAATTCGAACTCCATGAAAACATGGAAAATTGCTCCTTCTCGAGAAAAACAAGAAAACCAATTCCTTGGAAAAAAAGGCTGTCAAACAGCCAAAAAGATGGAAAATTTTCCATGGAAAATTTGGTATAATCAAATAGGGCCTTATAGAATCAAAAAAGCACACAAACAACCTTGTATTGTTCTCTTGAAGTTATTTTTATATAAGTTACAATTACGTACCCTTAATTTAACTGATTCAGTTGACCTTTTATTGGGTGTTAATTTCACTTCTGTATCTGTATCAGCACTTCAGTGGTAGCACGGGCTATGGTCATGAAGAAGCTGGCGGACGCGAAGCCCTTGATCAGGCTTTTGCTGAAATTTTTGGTGCTGAATCTGCAGTTGTTCGAGCACAGGTTTGCCCTGTGCTCTTGTTGTTTCTCGATTTTGTAGGTGTCAATACTTGCTTTTTAATATACTTTCCCTCTTTACCGCCAGTTTTTCTCAGGTACTCATGCAATCACTTGTGCCTTGTTTGCTTTCCTAAGGCCAGGGGATGAGGTGAATCAATTATTTCGTTTTCTCTTTGTCCATTCACAATTGATATCCATTTGTGCATTTAATCGGTTGTAGCCATTACATATTTAGATTGATTGCTTATCAGCTTCTGGCAGTTGCTGGTGCTCCTTATGATACATTGGAGGAAGTTATTGGAATCAGAGATTCTAATGGGTTAGGTTCCTTGAAAGATTTTGGAATAGGATACAGAGAAGTGCCAGTATGTTATTACTAGTTATTTTTTTCTATATTTTTCACTTGGTTTTGCTTATTTCAGAACTGACTCTTCCTTATGCTGACCTGTTTCAGCTTGCAGAGGATGGAGAGCTTGACTGGGATGCACTAAGTATTTCATTGAAACCTCACACAAAATGTGCATTCATACAGAGGTCATGTGGTTATTCATGGCGTCGCAGCTTAAGTGTAGATGAGATAGGAAGGGCAATAGGGATAATTAAGGTATATCTCTGAGAATTTATGTACATTGATAAAACTGGTCTTTTTTACGGGACAGTTAAACTAGTTCTATAATTATGAGATGCATGAGAACATGACAGCTAAGGTTTAAAATAGCTTATCAGACTTTATGGATTCATCGAGTTATTGGTTGTCCAGTTCACATTTTCACAAGTTTGGATTATCTGTGCATGTTCTCATATTGGACTAAATACATGAGTTTTCGTAAACTGGTATCATTCTTCATCAGCATTAATCACACTTCTCTTTTCTGGCATCTGTTCATACAGTCGCAGAATCCAAATTGCTTGGTCATGGTGGATAACTGCTATGGTGAATTTGTGGAGACCATAGAACCTCCTATGGTGGTATATGACAGTCTTTTCTTTTTTAATTTCACCTTCATCATTGGCTTCTATGTAGTTTAGTTTATTGCAATGCTGTTTGCCTGTTTCATGCTGGCAGGGTGCTGATCTAATTGCTGGCAGTTTGATAAAGAATCCTGGAGGAACAATTGCGCCATGTGGTGGTTATGTTGCTGGGAGGAAAAAATGGGTAGAAGCCGCAGCTGCCCGTCTCTCTGCACCAGGACTAGGAGTTGATTGTGGTTCAACTCCTGGGTATATAATGCGGACGATCTTTCAGGGTTTGTTCCTATCACCACAGATGGTTGGGGAAGCAATCAAAGTAACGAAATCTTCTTCACTTTATCTTATTTAATTGTTATCTCTACACTGCCATGATATCTTATTTGCTGTTTCTAGGGAAGTTTTTTGATTGCTGAAGTCATGGCAGCTAGAGGATATAAAGTGCAACCACTTTGCAGGGTTCCACGTCATGATACAGTACAGGTATACGTTTATCTAGCAAACTTTACATTTTGTCATATGTCGCTGTCATGACCAATGTTTTTGATGAAATCACGATAATTTTAGAAACGGGTTTAGGAATTATTTATTTCTTTCCATTGTTAGAGTACTAATTAATTGATTGATTGATTATTATAATCTTTAGATTTGGTAGGCAATTTTTCTTTCCTTTTATTTTTCTCTTCTTTGTACTATAAAAAGAACGATGTATAGCTCATAATATACAAGAAAAATATTGTCTTTCTCTTCATGGTATCAGAGTACAGGCTCGTCCCCTAACCAGCTAAAACAATGACAGAGGCCACCGCCAATAGTAGAGGCTCCACAACCTCTGACTCCTTCAATGGTGAATCAAAAACTGCCTCTGCCATAGGCTTGGGAGAAAATTCATCATTCCAATTAACGGTTGAAAAATTGAATGGAAAGAATTTTTGAGAATGGGCTCAATCTATCAAGTTAATTATCGATGGAAAAGGAAAATTAGGTTACCTCACTGGGGAGATAACGAAGCCGGCCTCAACCAACACGGTTCTTCTTCAAAAATGGAACTCAGAAAACTCATTGGTGACTGCTTGGCTGATAAACTCCATGAAACCCACTATCGGAAAGACGTATTTGTTCCTGCCCACTGCAAAAGACGTATGGGATGCAGTCAGAGAGACATATTCTGATTCTAAGAATTCATCCCAGATTTTTGAACTCAAAACTAAACTCTGGCAAACCAAGCAAGGTGACCGAGATGTGACAGAATACTACCTGGAGATGTCGACTTTGTGGCAAGAACTCGATTTGAGTACCGAAGAGGCATGGGATTGCGCAGGCGACAGTGTTCGATTCAAAAAAAGGTTGGAAAACGAAAGGGTCTTCGAATTCTTGGCTGAGTTGAACCGCGACCTAGATGAAGTGAGGGGACGAATTCTTGGCCGGAAACCCTTACCGTCGATGAGGGAGGTGTTCGCGGAGATCAGGCGCGAAGAAAGCCGGAGAAAAATCATGTTGGAGACGATCGGAGGGGCTTCAAGCATGGCTGGCTTGATTTCTGGGGTTGAGTCATCGGCCCTACTATCAAAAGGAATTGGGTCGTCTATTGGGCCGTCTAACAGTGGGCCAACAATCAATGGACTGGGTCTTTTAAAATATGGTCCAGAAAATTCTAATTTTGGGTCAACAAATGGGCCTGAGAATACGGGCTTTTATACAAAAGGAACAACAAATGGGTTAGACCCAAGACAGCAAAAAGGACGACCTTGGTGTGAGCATTGCCGTAAGTCAAGACATAAACAAGATACGTGTTGGGATTTGCATGGAAAATCAGCCAACTGGAATCCAAGACAAAGTAATAAATACCGTGGAAATCAAGCATCAATTGACCATCAGTGAGGAAAATCCAAGGAATCAAGTGGTGCATTTAACGCCGAGCAGATGGAACAGCTCTACAAAATGTTTTCTAACCTACAATCATCAAGTCAAATCAATAACTCATCAAGTTCACTAGCGTACAAAGGTAACTTTTTGAGAGCCTTAAAATCTGCCACTCAATCAAAAACACCCTGGATCATTGACGCAGGAGCCTCGGACCACATGACAAACTCCTACCATTTATTCTCATCTTACTCTCCAGGTACTGGTAATCTCAAGGTTAAAATTGCAGATGGATCTCTGTCCACCATAGCAGGAAAATGGACTATTCAAATCTCTGATTCTATAACCTTGGAATCTGTTCTTCATGTTCCTAATTTATATTGCAATTTACTGTCTATAAGTCGGTTAACAAAATCCTCAAATTGTTCTGCTAAATTTTTCCGATCCTATTGTGTTTTTCAGGATCTATTATCGGGGAAGACGATTGGCAGTACTAAGAAAAGTGAAGGACTATATTACTTTGACAAGGCAGATGTGGGTAAACAGTGTCAAATTAAATTTGTGATTCTGTGTCTGTGCTTAGAAATAGCGAAATTATGTTATGGTATTTTAGAATGGGACACTCCAACTTTCAATACCTAAAACGTGTACTACCCTATATTTTTTTGAATAAAAAGACAGTTGATCTTCAATGTGAAATTTGTGAACTTGCAAAGCATCAGCGTACACCATTTCCAAAATCCGTATACAAACCATCAAAGCCATTCTCCATGATTCATAGCGATGTATGGGGTCCCTCACGGATTCCAAATCGTACTCACTCTAAATGGTTTGTTACATTCATTGACGATCATACTCGAATTTGTTGGATTTACCTACTAAAAGATAAATATGAAGTTCGAGGCGTGTTTGTCAACTTCCACTCTATGATTCAAACGCAGTTCCAAACCCAAATCCAAATCTTACACACTGATAATGGCACTGAGTACTTCAATAACATCTTAGGCGACTATCTCAGAACACATGGCATAGTTCATCAAAGTTCATGCGTTGATACTCCCCAACAAAATGGGATTGCTGAACGAAAAAATAGACATATATTAGAAGTCGCCCGTGCTCTAATGTTCACTACAAACATGCCTAAAATATTCTGGGGGGATGCTGTCCTTACATCCATTTACCTCATCAACCGAATGCCTAGTCGAGCCCTAAATTTCGAAACTCTCATCCAAAAATTTCAAATTTTTTTTCCAACTTCTCGTCTTAGCTCCAATCTATCCCTACGAGTGTTTCGATGTATTGCCTTCGTACATGTCCATCCCCATCCCCATCAAAGAAACAAACTCGATCCCTGGGCAATTAAATGTGTTATAATTGGCTATTCTCCTACACAAAAAGGATACAAATACTATGATCCCTCCACACAACGAACATTTGTAAGTCTTGATGTCACTTTCTTCGAAAATAAACCGTACTTTGAAAAAACCTCTCTTCAGTGGGAGATCTTAACAGAAGATCGGTTCTTTGATTTCAGTCTCTCCTTTCCTGAACCTGCTCTATCTATCCCTCCATCCGATGCTAATATGCCATTAACAAAGGAAAACTTGAATACAGGGGGAGACATAGAAAAACAGAAGGATAAGGAAATATTAGTTTACTCACGAAAGCCAAAATCAAAGTACATAGAGAATCTCATGACTGAAGCACCAAAAGAATCAAAATCAAGTGTTTCAAGCAGATATGGTCCTTTGCACTGTTCCTCTTGGGGTCCTTAAAAAGAAAACTATCGTCTTTGAACCAGAGTTACCTGAAGAGAAGCTTGCAGCAATAGAAAGACTGGGATTTGGGTTGCTCAATAAGGTTGCCATGGTATTCCCTCATGTTTTCTGGGGCGAGGACATGGATACATTTGGATGTCTTAGCAAACAGAGTTACAAGCGGGGAGAGTTCTTTCTGTTCTACAGTTACCATACTGTTTCTGGGGGTCCGGTCCTGGTTGCACTGGTGGCTGGGGAAGCTGCACAATCTTTTGAATATACAGACCCCTCTGCTTCTCTTCACCAGGTTTTGGGTATTCTCAAAGGTATCATACATCTTTGAACCGAAAGTTTCTCCAATGAAAATTCTCTCCTTGAATCTGTCGACAATGTGTTTGTCATTTGCTTTCCTAATTTTTTGGACTTTGTAATTTATGTTATTCTTTAGATTTGCTTCTGTTGAGCATGCTTACTTGTTTTTACATGACTTTTTGCAGGCATATATGGTCCTAAGGGAATCGACGTGCCTAATCCTCTACAATCCATATGCACGAGATGGGGGACTGATCCTTTTTCTTATGGCTCATATTCGCATGTCAGAGTGAAGTCCTCTGGCAACGATTACGAAGTACTTGCAGAAAGTGTAGGTAGCCGTTTGTTTTTTGCTGGTGAGGCAACAATTAGGCAACACCCTGCCACCATGCATGGTGCCTATCTCAGTGGTCTACGAGAAGCTTCACGCATACTCCAAGCTTCAAGGGCTCAGCAAAATAATACAAAGTACATACAGAGGAATATTGCACCCAGCGATGATACTTTATTGGATCTATACAAGACACCTGATCTAGCATTTGGGAAGTTCTATTTTGTCTTTGATCCTTTGTCTCAAGACCCAAAATCATTGGGGATTATGAGAGTGGCTTTAGGGAAGTCCTGCTGGGAATGCAGTAATGAACACTGTAGTTTGGAGAATAGAGAAGGTAGCTGTCAACATTTGTTAAATGAGTCACTTCAGCTTTATACAGTAACATCTCGCGAACAGGCACTAGAGTTGCAGCAGGTGACTGGAGGAAG